AAAAAAAAAGAAAAGAAAAAAAAAGGGGGGGGCATGAAAATGAAAATTTCTTCTATGTTCACTTCACATTTCTTTTTTTCATCACATATCTCATTTCAACCATCACTATTTCCATTTCATAGCTCAAAAACAAGTGCATAAAAATGAAAATGGAAATTTCATCCACATGCATTTTGCAAAGCATTTCACATTTTTTGAAAACAAAAAAAGAAAAAGAGGTTCTTCCAAGATAAATTCATGAAAAGTCCATCTTTTAAACATCAAAATAATTTGAGCACATGATTTTGGAGCCTCACATCATTCATTTTCTCCAAGCATCACACCATTCACTTTTTCTTCAAGCTTCATAGCATTTGCTTTCTTTTCAAAGGAATGATATTTCCTATGAATGCCAATTCAATGGGTTGCCATAGTGAATCACCAACTTCTCCTTTGAAATTTGCCTGGCATACTTAATAAAGGAAAATTCATGTTTTAGGATACAATTTCACACACATTACCACTTGTCAGCAAATTTATATTCTTGCATCTTTTTATCTCTTATTTCCCATCCATGTTTATTTCTTTTCTTGCATTCCCAACAATGCATGCTTTAGGATACAACCACACACACATTATCACTTTAGAGCATATTCATGTTCCTTCATCCTTTATCTATTGTTTGACATCCATGTTTATTTCTTTTCTTGCATTCCCATAATCTTGCTTGATTCTCTGCCTTCAACAATTGAAATATGGGTTCATACATGGTCAAGCGCGATTCTTTGTCAATCAAGACACCTTTTGAAAAATTCATCCGTGGAGAAAGCTTTGACCAACAGAGGATTGAGGAGATCTTTAACTGCAAGCATTTTTCTCCCTCATAGACAATTGCCAAGTCCAAGGGGCAAGCTTAGAAGGACAAGAACCAAGAGTAGCCTTGAAGATCAAAAGCTCAACGACATTACACTTCATGTTGCTCCAGAAATCAAGGGATTCATCAAGAAAAAGAATGGAACTTCTCATAGACAATTGTACTTTTGAAAGATCTAGGAGTCAGATTTTACTAGGGACTTGAATGCTACCATGTTGATGTACTTAGTCTGATGTACTAGGCTTTTGCTTTGTAATGAATGACCATCTTTGTAATGCATGTTGAACTGCTTGTAAGTGTCTTTTCTATAACCCTTGGAGTCTATGGAAATCTCAAGGCGTCCAAAGATATTTTGCTTCATTCGAGGCTCCTTAAGGATTGGAAATCGACAATGTGTGAATCCATATAGCAATTGTTGAAGCACCAAATCATGCAAAGTTATGGGATGACTTTTAACATTATTCTGACTTTGTTTATTTTTCTTTTACTTTTTGTTTGTAGGTAGGTTTCATAAACTACTTCAAGAACAAAAACAAAAAAATCAAGCATGATAGTCTCCCTATGTTTTCTCACTCTTTGGAGCAATGCATCATTCATCTAGAAGGCGGCTTCAACATACTCTTATAAGCTCACCAAGATATGATGTTGAAGTGGACTTACACACGAGACATGTGGATCTAGATTCAATGAATGAGGCGGCAAATCTAGGACATGGGGAAATTTGAGTATTATTGCTTTTAAGGATGAACCCCATTTTGACTTGACCATTACTTCTGCCTTGGGGGCACTTTGGCCAATTGGACAGTCAAGCTTTTCTCTGCTTCATTTATCCATGAGTGGGATGAGTCAGCTTTCTAATAGCTCAGCTTGTGGCTACATGAAAGGAGGGAATAACAAGCTCTTTTATATTCTTTGAAATATTTGCTATCATGCTAATTAGTTTCCCAGTCTTTACAATTTAGTAACATATGTGGCCATATTGTCATCTTTCAAACTTGATGCAACTCTTCTTGATGCCATTAATATGCTCAAAAAAAAAAAAAAAAAA